GTGTGTGTGTGTGTGTGTGTGTGTGTGTGTGTCTGTGTCTGTGTCTGTGGTGGGGACAGCAGGAGACACCTCTGGTGCTGGATGGGACTGGATTTAAGAGTGCTTCCTGGCCTGGGTGTGGTGGTCCCCTTCCTCCGGCCCAGGGCAGATGACTCACTCACTCTGGAAGTTCTTGACGATGTGTTGGATGCAGAGTTCTGTGAGGAGTGGTACGATGGCCAGGGTCCACTCCGCGTCCTCAGAGATGATCCGGCGCATGCGCCGGTTACTTGGGATCTTGGACTTGAGATGGCCTGGCGCATGGCTTGGGCTGGTCTTCGCGGCTTGAGTCGCTGAGCTGACGCCACCTAGACCAGAGTGCTGGCGCTGGACGTTGTACATGGACGTTCGAGACCCGGGGTGCGATGACGTTGCTGGGGGGTCATGCATGTTGCTGGCTGTGGGCGAGGCAAGGGCAGGAAGCCCTTTGGAAACTTGTTACAAGAAACTTCTTAAGCTGGAAAATCCTTGGTTCAGGCAGGAGGTGAGATGGAGGTCCTGGCTTGAAAGGAAGGGGGACAGTGTTACTTGGGGGAAGTTAAGTGGCACAGAGTGGTGCTTGGGGGTCAGTTTCTGGAAGGGATTGGACCCCGATGAGAAGCTCAGAGACTGGCTGTGTTGTTTTGGTTAAGTGACCAAATGTTGAATTTCAGAAGATGCCCCTCTGTGAAGTGAGGGCAACAGCTAACCAACAGGGTTACTAGAGGAGGTGAGAAAATAATGCAGTCAAAAGGCCACAGTGTGTGCAAAGAGCCTCTCCAAAGTTTAAGTAATAGTTACGTGGCAACTATAGTCATTGCTGCATACTGGGTATTCATTTTGGATATTAACTCATTTGTCACAAAAGGGGAGGCTGGAGAGGTGGCTCCGAGCAGTTAAGTGTGGTTAAGAGCACTGACTGCTCTTCAAGAGGACCCTGGGTTCAATTCCCAGTACCCACATGGCAGTTCACAACTGTTTGTGACTTCAGTTCCAGGGGATCTGATACCAGCACTTGGGGGGGGCAGAAGCAGGCAGATCTGCGAGTTCGAGACCAACCTGGTCTACAAGCAGCCTCCAAAGCCATAGAGAAACCCTGTCTCAAAAAAAGAAAAAAAGAAAAAGAAAAACACCAATGTACATAAAATTAAATTAACTTTTAAAAAACCTTTTGGGACAATAACTCATTTTTCCCCTGATGAAGGGGAGGTCAATAAAACTTGCTCAATATTGCACAGCTTACACTGAACAAGAACTTATATTTCTTTAAAGATTTTATTTATTATGTATACAGCTTTTTGCCTGCATGACCAGATCTCATTCAAGGTGGTTCTAAGCCACCATGTGGTTGCTGGGAATTGAACTCGGGACCTCTGGAATAACAGTCAGTGCTCTTAACCGCTGAGTCATCTCTCCAGCCCTATTTTTATTTTTTAAGGTGTGTGTGTGTGTGTGTGTGTGTGTGTGGGTGTGTGTGTGTGTGTGTGTGTGTGTGTGGGTGTGTGTGTGTGTGTGTGTGTGTGTGTGGGTGTGTGTGTGTGTGTGTGTGTGTGTGTGGGTGTGTGTGTGTGTGTGTGTGTGTGTGTGGGTGTGTGTGTGTGTGTGTGTGTGTGTGTGGGTGTGTGTGTGTGTGTGTGTGTGTGTGTGGGTGTGTGTGTGTGTGTGTGTGTGTGTGTGGGTGTGTGTGTGTGTGTGTGTGTGTGTGTGGGTGTGTGTGTGTGTGTGTGTGTGTGTGTGGGTGTGTGTGTGTGTGTGTGTGTGTGTGTGGGTGTGTGTGTGTGTGTGTGTGTGTGTGTGGGTGTGTGTGTGTGTGTGTGTGTGTGTGTGGGTGTGTGTGTGTGTGTGTGTGTGTGTGTGGGTGTGTGTGTGTGTGTGTGTGTGTGTGTGGGTGTGTGTGTGTGTGTGTGTGTGTGTGTGGGTGTGTGTGTGTGTGTGTGTGTGTGTGTGGGTGTGTGTGTGTGTGTGTGTGTGTGTGTGGGTGTGTGTGTGTGTGTGTGTGTGTGTGTGTGTGTGTGTGTATGCGAGCGCACGTACAGATGCCAGAAGCGGGCCCTGGGTTTCCTTGGCACCATAGTTACAGGCAGTTGTGAGCAGCCTAACACGGATGCTGAGAACTGAATTCGGTCCCTCTCCAAGAGCGGAACAGTAGGTGCTCTTGACCACTGGGTCACCTCTCCAGTCCCCATAAGTCTGGATTAACTCCGTTTCTCATTGTTCCTGTACTGCCCGGTCTAAGGCTGAGCAGAGGATATGAATTGCCAAAGGAGAGATCTGTAGTGAACAACTATTTACCTCCAAAGCTCCCCACTCCCAGATGACTGAGAACAAAGGCCAGCAGAGTCTGATGCAGGCCTCATATGACACTTTGTCTCTGTATTTATTTTGAGGCAAGGTCTCGGGTTTCCCAGGCTGGCCTCCAAGCTGCTATATAGCAGGAATGACCTTGGAACTGCTGATTCTTCTGTCTGTACCTCCCAAACGCTGGGGTTACGATGTCATCAGTGCAGTTATATGTCATCACATCCAGTGAACCTGGTGCTGTGGATGGAACCCAGGGCTTCGTGCTCATGTCAAGCAAGCCAACTCAACCAAACCCCCAGTCCCTGTCTTTAAACTTTCTAGTATTCACGTTTAAAGAGTAAATAGGGGGGCTGGAGAGACGGCTCCGCAGTTAGAGACCTGTCTGAAGGGATGGCTCGGCAGAGCCCTGGCTGCTCTTCCAGTAGAACTGGGTTTGATTCCCAGCACCCACATGGTGGCTCACACCTGTAACTCTAGAACTAAGGGATCTGACCCCTTTCCTGGCCTCCAAGGGCAGTTCATGGACATGGTGCACAGGCAACATACATATAAAAACAATTGTTTTGTTTTCTAAGACAGGTGTAGCCCTGGCTGTCCTGGAACTCATTCTGTAGACTGGCCTTGAACTCAGAGATCTTCCTTCCTCTGCCTCTGGGATTACAGGTGCTCCGCCACTGCCACCACCACCACCACCACCCGCCAGAAATTTTTAAATACGCAAAGAAAGACTTAAGTAGAGCTGCGGGGTGGGGTAGTTCAGTAGCTGTGCTTGCTTAGCACCCCCAGCTAAAAACAAAACACCAAAAAACAAAAAGCATACAGGAAAAGCAAAACAAACAAACAAACAAAAGCCCAAAACAGGTGAAATTAATTTTATAATTAACCCAATGTGCCCAAAATATTATCGTTTAAATGTGTAATCTGTGTAGTGTTTTTAAAAAGTTAAAAAGAAAAAACAAATTGGTGTGAGTCCATGGAGCCAGAGAGAGTGTCAGATCCCCTGGAGCTGGAGATGAAGTGAGTGGGAGCCGTCAGGTGCAGTGAACCAGGCATGGGTCCTCTGGAAGGCCGGTCAGTTGCAGAGCCAGCTCTTCACACCTCTGTCTGTGTAAAGGTTTTGAATGGGAAGGACAGGTACGTTTGTGTTCACATCAAATCTGAGCCTGTGGCCTCCATTCAGAAGGGGACCAAAAGACACAAGCCTGACCAGAGTGCCAATGCCTCTCCTCACACCCTTCAACTCCCTCCTGGCTCCTACTTCAGTCTCCCCTCATACCAGACGGTGGCAGGCAGGCGTGGGAGGAGAGAAGGCAGCTAAATATGGGGCTGCAGATAGAAGACCGAGGACGCTGTCTGGGTCTGGGGACCTTCTGCTTGTGATCACCCGTTTACCCGCCTGCTGCAGGCACCCTGCCAGTGACCTGGAGTCAAAGTGGGGGTGTCTGGGCCCTCTGCCCCTCTGGGGAGCTTCCCTTTGTGCTGCACTGTGGTGTGGCCAGTGAGAGAGAGAGAGCACCCTGCTCCAGCAAAGACATCCTTGGCAGAGGGAGGGACCAGATGGTTGGTACTCCCTAGCCTGCCAGGCAGCTCAAGGAGGAAAAGTCTGGGGAGAGGGGCACTGTAGGGAAGATATATATGAATTGTTATCCTGTATGCAAATCAAATGCAAATTCAGAAACTGTCAACCTTCAACTAAAGCCTTTAATCCCAGCACTTGGAAGGCAGAGGCAGGTGGATCTCTGGGAGTTTGAGACCAACCTGGTGTACATGGTAAGCTCCATGACGTCCAAAATAACAGTGACTGTCTCAAAACACAAAACAAAACAAAACAAAAACACCCAAACAACAACAACAAAAAGGAGGACAGCTGAAGGTGGATACTATTTACATGAAGGCACCAGTTGGTTTTGCATTTCTTGCTTGCTGTGTGACCTTAGCTAAGTTGCATAACCTATCTGGACTTCAACTTCTTCCCTTCCCTTATCTGTAAAATGAGATAATAACATCTTCCTAAGTGGAGACTCCTGTCTAGAGTGCTGAGATGTGTCATCAAGTGAATGCCAGGTTTCTGAGACTTGTCTCTGTCTCTACAGAAGAGGTGAAGCCTTGACAAGGGGTCAGTGGTGACTTGAGGGGTCAGGTGCACCTTGGTTAGAGGCTGGAAGGGGCTTGGAGGCAACAGCCTAGCCCCATTCCTGCCAGCTCTGCATCTGGACTCCTTCTTCCAAGGCTCAGGCCTAGAATGTTGCATTGGACCACACAGGGACCCAGGGGCAAGCTTGGCAGGAGAGCCCAACTTTCCGGTGGGTGTGGCTTTAGAACTGGGATCTCAGGCATCATTCACATGCCACCAGTCCCACTAGCCTGGGGCATGGCCCTGCTCCTTCCTCCTTGGAGACCTCATCTCAGCTGGGGCAAACTGGCTGTGGGACCAGGTGGGACAGAAACTTCCATCTACAGCTCAATGCTTCTGATTGTCTTTCTCTCTGGGTACCAGGCAGTTTTTCCTTAAGTCTCGTTCTAGTTGCTTTTGTTGCTGTTTTGTGCTTGTAGTCTGCCTCTGGCAGAGGTCATAGAGTAACCCAGGTCTCTGACAAATTTCACAGGGGAAGGGGCAAAGCCCCCACCCTGATGGCTGCCACAGGTACAGCTCACATACCAAGAGCCCATGCCAGCCTTCCGAGTTTACAGAAGCACCCATACCCTTGGTCTGATGTCTCCTTATTTTTTTTTTTTCATTTCAAGACAGGGTCTCTCTTTGTAGTTCTGGCTGTCCTAGAACTCACTATATAGACCAGGCTGACCTTGAACTCACACAGCTCTGCCTACCTTTGCTTCCTGGGTGCTGGGATTAAAGACATCCACCATGTCCAGGCTGATGCCATTTTTAAGGCAAATGTTGAAAGCAATTACTTTATAAGGTCAGAGTTGACCATTTTCATTTAATCCTCCTTTGATTATTTTAAATATATACACACATATCTAGTATGCACACATGTATAGTATATATATATGTATATAATATATATGTATGCATATTATATTTTTGTGGTATGGAGATTAAATACAGGGCCTTGCAGATAGCAGCCAAACATTCTCCCATTGAGCCA